ACCTAAGAGGTTTTCTTGACAATGCATCTGCATTTCCATGATTCTTACCCGGTCTATGCATGCATTCGAAGTCATACTCTTGTAGGTGTTCTTGCCATCTGGCAATCTGACCCTCAGCTTCTTTGAAGTTATGTAGCCAGCTAAGGGCTTTGTGATCAGTGCGTACAATGAAATGTCTACCGAGGAGATATGCCCTAAAGTGTTTAACAAAATTGACCAGTGCCAGCATTTCTTTCCGCGTGGTGCAGTAATTCTTCTCACTCTTGTTGAGTGCTCGACTTGCATAGGCTATCACCTTTTCTACTCCATCTGCGTCTTTTTGAGACAAAACTGCCCCGATACCAGAGTCGCTAGCATCTGTATCTAGGATGAATGGACCTGCCTGGTCAGAAACATTGGGATACGCTAGGATAGGGGGGCTACATAAACAGTTTTTAAGTCTTTCGAAGGCTTCCGTAGCTGATGCTGTCCAATTGTAGTCTTTCTTCTTGAGAATGTCGAATAGAGGAGCTGCAAGGAAAGAGAAGTTAAGTACAAAACGTCGATAATACGAGGCTAACCCTAAAAAACTATGTAACTCGGGGGCTGAGTTTGGGAGCGGCCAGTCTTTAACTTCCTGAACTTTTGCTGGATCACATTTAATGCCTTCGGCTGAAACAATGTGACCTAAGAAACACACTTCTTTCCTGAAGAATTGACATTTCGATGGGTTCAGTTTTAACCCAACGGTCTGCATCCGTTCTAATACTTCGGAAATATCACTTAAATGTTCGGTCAACGTCTTACTATGTATGATAACATCATCTAGATATACCAAACACTTACCTGGTATGCAATCACTCAAGACCGTTTGCATGAGGCGTTGGAATGTTGCTGGGGCATTGACTAACCCAAACGGCATTGTTTCAAACTCATACAGGCCTGCTTGTACAATGAATGCTGTCTTTTGCCTGTCATCTGGGTGTACTTCAACCTGCCAATATCCCGATGCCAGATCTAGAGTGGTAAACCAATTCGACCCTTCTAAGGCATCAAAAGTGTCGTCTATGCGTGGAAGGGGAAAGCAGTCTCGTCTAGTTAACAGGTTCAACTTACGATAATCTACACATAACCGGAGTGTCCCATTCGATTTCTTAACTAAAACTACCGGTGAAGCCCATGGAGATACGGATGGTTTGATGACATTTTTCTCTAACAGTTCATCAACTAACCTGTTAAGCTCCTTCTGGTAATGTGCAGGTACTCGCCGTGCAGGTTGTCTACAAGGTGGGGCGTTACCCGTTTCTATGTGATGTTGGACCAGTTTTGTTCTTCCCGGGCTTTTTCCATCCCAGTCAAAACAGTCCTCATATTTGTCTAGCATTTTATTAAAGTTGGCAGCCGTTTCCGACGGTAGGGGTTCTATAGTCGTCAGCATTCGCTGTTTCTCATTCTTAGCATCTCCCTGCACGCCAAAAGTGCCGTGCTCTTTGTCGTTCCCTACAATAAATGGGATGGAACAGTCCTTCAGTATAAGAGTCCTCTGACTACAATCTATTATTCCGGACAGCTTTTCCAGGAGGTCGACTCCCAAGATTACCTGCCACGGCACCCGTGTAGAGATGATGAAATTGTGTTGAAGTGACAGTGTTCCCAATTTAAGTGGCAGCAGGACCAGTCCCTGGGATTGCATGCAATCTCCATTGGCTGTCGTAAGCCGCAAATTGTGAGTCCCTATTGTTCGCCTAAACGTCTCTGGAACACATGAGGAATGTATGACAGAACAAGTTGCTCCTGAGTCAACTAACATAACACACTTTTTTCCACCTATATAACCTACAACTTTCGGGGAGGAGGTGACACCGATTAGGTTTACAGTAGGCACACAATTCATATCAACATGTGACTCACCTGCATTGTGACCACAACTCCTAGCAAGCTTACCAAACCGCCTGCAGTAGTAGCAATCGTTTCTTGAAGTGGATTGCGACTGTGGGCGTCCTTTCCACGGTGGTGTAGGATTCTGTGCATGCTTTGTTGTTGTGTGCTGATATCCCATTGCGTTTACTTGTGGGCATGTGGTTCCTGGCTCTTCCAGGCTTTCCACTAGGCGTGCCCTAGCTTCCGCTTCTGCCATGGATGTTGGAGTGTGCAAGTTGAAGTCCTTCCTGTAACGGACGTCGACACCCTGCAAGAACTTGGAATATATGGCGTTTTCAACCTCTGAGTATGTCTTGTCCTGCATAGCTTGACGCGCAAGCTTGCGGAGACGTAAGGTGAACTGGTTGATAGATTCACCTTGTCTCTGGTTACACTCGCTGAATCTTTTCAGCGCTTCAATGGGAGGTATTGGTGGCACTATACGTGCTCGTAGAGTACTCAACAGGGTGGTCAAGGGCATATGCACGTAATCCAAACCAATTGTGTACATTTCCAAGGACCGTCCAACAGAATCGATGACGAATGCGTTCGGGTGAGGCACGTTCATCAGATCAATGTATCGGCACACCTTGTCCGACCACAGCTCGAAATCATCACCCACCTCCAGTGTATGCGGTAAGGGATGGACATATCGCGAAGCAGGCTGATTTGACTGAAAAGCTGGAGCCCTCACTTCAGCTAATTGATCCACCTCGTTGGATGCTGTCTCTTTGACAGGCGAAATGTTCTTGGAAGCCTCACTGGGTCGAGACTTGGAAGAAGGAATTTTTTTCGTTGGCAGGCTCGCCATTTATGTAATATTACATAAATGGCGTGCCTGCATGCAGACACAAATGGAGCAAATGGAGAATTCTGGAACCGACCTCAGCACCATTTGATGCAGTAAAACAACTACACATGACCTCATCTAGTTTTCGCATCCCCGATCAAATTTCTTTCCTGTTATAAAACTACGATAAGACTACTGAAAAAATAGAATAAATATATCACTGATCTCAACATAATACATCAATAAACTTTGATCCGAGGGTGCTGTTCACAACAAAGTTATGTAAGAGGATTGACTTCAAGCTGTTTTTCCCAGATATCTGTATTACATTCATCTGATGTCTGGGTTTTTTTAATGCGAAAAAAATATTTCTATATCTCTTCATGTGCTACACAAGCAGACTTTATAGCAGACTGTTCCGTCTGACTCTAATGTCAGAAAGAACAACCAAACTGTAAATTCATCATACATCAATTTGTGTAATTTATATAATAACTTATCCATGCCTATACAATTGGTATGTTCCTGCATAAACAGTAAGAAATATATTATATATTATATAAAGTCAGAATTCGAACATATGATGCAGCTAGGCATCATACGACCATCTAACAGTCCATGGTCTTCACCTTTGCATATGGTACCCAAAACTAACCACGACCGGCGACCATGTGGAGATTATCGCGCTTTGAATAACGGTACGGTCCCAGACCGTTATCCTATACCTCATCTCCACGACTTCTCCTTGACCTTACATGGAAAGACCATTTTTACTAAAGTTTATTTGGTCAGGGCATATCATCAAGTACCAGTCACTCCCGAAGACATTGCAAAGACAGCAATTATCACGCCTTTTGGATTATTCGAATTTTTGAGAATGCCTTTCGGACTAAGGAATGCCGCTCAAACATTTCAGCGTTTTATGGACCAAGTTACCCAAAGTCTTGATTTCGTCTTTGTATATATCGACGATGTCTTAATTGCCAGCTCATCGATGGAAGAACATATGGAACACTTAAGCCTGTTATTTCGAAGGCTTGAACAATTTGGAGTAGTTATCAATCCAAAGAAATGTATTTTTGGTCCCCCCCAAGCTTACAAAAATTCTAAACTTATTCTAACCTATGCGTCGATAATGCCTTTTTTTGGTAAATGATTATTTTTTCTACCCACTATGCTCTGAAATAACGCTGGTCGTGCTGAAAAATAGAGCTGGGTGCTTAATTAATGCGACAAATTCTTAAAAATAAGATCACCATCTGAAATAATGCCTTAAGTGCTGAAAATAAGCACGGCATGCTTAACTGCTCCGGTTAATACTGAAAAATAGCACGTTATCTCTCTCTCTCGACATCGTATATCCAAACCAACCAACCAATCAGCAAACAGTAGGTTTCACACAGAGTACGTAGTGTGACGGCTTCACACTTGTCTGTGAATTTAATGTGATGTGATTGGTTTATTTCCCCGGAGGTGTGACAGTAAATATGAATACAATGAAAACATAATTCAACAGGGGGTAGGGGAATGTGAATTGATAACATATGAAGGTTGTAATGAATAATATATTTCGTTTGTGGAGCGTCACTGAATTTGATTACAATTCAGTTGAAACGAGGTCACAATTGAAAAAAATTATAAGCAAGGTAGGCTGTGTCTAATGTGTATCCTAGTAGCTATGAGGATAACATTTTTAGTTCATCGCTTCGAAATTTGATAACAGCTCAGTAAAAGTGAGGTCAAAAATGGAAACAAAAAACAAATTTGATAGAACATATTGGGCCATGTTTAATGCACTTTATACAGTCGAGGGAATACATTTGTCATGATTTGTGTATATGAATAAATGATAACTATTCACTTATGACAAGCCCACGGTTTAAAAGTTCAAAAGTATTTGAACTTAAATGGATTAACTACAACAAATGAAAACCTATGCTTATCATGACTGAAATACAAAGAAATATAAAACACAAAAATTCAAAACGAATTAAAGGGGGGGAGGGGATGAAAAATGAAAACCCTTAGATGAAAAAGGATACTTGTCATAAGTGAAGTGTAAATTTTTTCCATTACTGAGCACAGGTTACGAGGTTATGTACTTAAACCTTGGGAATCCAAACGAAACAAGGTGGGGGTGATTGTGTTGATTCATAGACGAAAACATACACTTCCCATAAGGAAAATGTTAACAGTTGTGATAACAGTTCACCCGTCATCCCTTTTCATTTTAAAAGTACGGATGTTTGCATAGAGGTATATAAACAGTACGCCGTACATACAGAGATCATTCTAACAGGATTTATAAATCATGCAGGTGAGTTAGATTTTGGGTGTTTATTTGTCCAATTCTCTTATAAGGAAAACAACTCCGATAATGTGTTAAATACCGGTATTCAACATTCTACAACAAGTCGTAAGAGAAGAATATCTTCTGGCAGACTGCATGAATGCCTTGGATACAGCTACTCAACATTTTATCGCCGTCAAAAACGGTTACGTGATGCAGCATTTAGTGACTGGGACTTATGGAAACGTTACTGCTCATCTGCAGAAGAGGTGGCAAGGGATAATACAGTAACTATACCTTCAAGTTCAGCTGTCCAGGGAACAGCGGGTTCACCTAGTAGTAGTGAGACCGTCGCTGTTGTTTCACAAATTGAAGAGAATCGTAACATTTATTAATATGTAATAATTAATTTCTATAGAACTTCAGGTTGTTCCTAAAAAGATGACACAAGGAGAGCTAGTCAGAAAGTCAATTATGGAATTCTTCCTTCAGAACAATGTAACAGGGGCGCTTGCGCAAAATGTCTTGGACTGTATTCGTAAATTTAATCCACATGTGCCAACAACCATAAGAGGCTTGCTAAAAGATAGTGGCATGTGTGTACCTAGATTTCTTGGACAAGGTGTTTACTATCACATTGGACTGAAGGAAAACCTGCAGCGTTATCTAGATAGTTGGGTTGACTACGGTACTTTTCAACATATTGGCTTGCAAATCAACTATGACGGTTTATCTATATCAAACAGTTCTTCGCAGCAATTATGGCCATTCCTAGGTCGTATCACAACTCCATACGTCAGTGACGTTTTTTTAATTGGCATACATGGCGGTTTGAGAAAACCGAGCAACTTCAATGAGGTTGCTATGGACCTATTAGCTGAATTGAAAGATCTTTATAAATACGGTTTATATGTTGAGAAGTGGGGTAGGAGTGTGACTGTCAGTGTTCTTGCATTTATATGTGACACGCCTGCTCGTTCTAATGTAAAACAAACCGTCGGTCACAATGGAAAATCAGGTTGTGATAAATGTGAAGTTATAGGTTGTTGTTTAGAGGGTAGGATGACATTTCCTAATGGGAACCATACACTTAGAAATGATAGGACATTCCGTGGTCAAGTTCAAGCAAGTCACCATCGGGGCAGAAGCTGTCTTGAGGAATTGCCACTTGATATGGTAAAATCGTTTCCATTGGAGCCAATGCATCTAATATACCTTGGTGCTGTTAAGAAGTTAGTGTTCCTTTGGCAGGGTCTTGCGGCACGGCGAGAGAAGCAAATGCATAGTAAGATTATCGCTGATATTAATAACGGACTGGAAGTAAGTAGGAAACACATCCCTTGCGATTTTCAGAGGAAATGTCGGTCGTTAGACGACGTTAGCCAATGGAAAGCAACCGAGTGTAGACTTTTCTTACTCTATTTGGGTCCCGTCCTACTTAGAAACACTCTACCATGCCACCTGTACGCAAATTTTAGGAGATTATCCCTGGCAGTATACTTACTGTCGAGTACCAAATACAGCCGACTGTTTTTGGATGCTGCTCGGACAGATTTAAGTAATTTCTTACTGCAATATGAGAATTGTTTCGGAAATGAACATATTGTTTACAATATACATTCTCTGAAACATATAGCGGATGACGTCGAGCTGCATGGGCCATTGGAAGAATTCAGCGCATTTCCCTTCGAGTCCTATATGCGCAAGATAAGACAGTCCGTGCACTGTGGTTATGCTGTGGCTAAGCAGGCAGCTCAACGCTATGTTGAACACGTGTACTTAATGAAAAGTACAGGCGTGAAGCACGTACCTAAAGAAGCTGGTACTAAGTGCGTTGAATTTTGCAAAGGAAAGCTGACGTATCTAAATACCATATTCACACCTTATTCTCCGGATAATGTCATCTTAGCCTTAGGTAAGCCAGGGAATATAGTTGAAATCGAAAGTGAAGATAGGATACGTTTTCGACCCTATAGCGATTATAGTGATGATTTCACTACACCGTTTAAGTCAAGGAATTTAGGGATATTTAGATGTTCAAAATTCAGTCACGAAACACACTGGATATCCTATGTGAATATTGTCTGCAAGTGCATGACTGTTCCAACAACTAACGACGAAGTAGTTATCCCCCTGCTTCATACATTTAATTGAGGGTACTGTGCCGTAATTTTTGGCTTGAACTGTTGATGTGTAATTCGTCTAAGTTTTTTTGTAACGTCTATTTGTTGTCAAATCCGAAAATCTACCTCTAACTGGCTGATGTTGTTGGTGAAACTGAAGTTCATTTGACAGTTTATTCCGCGTTTTTGAGATATAGGTATATCCGTGCTGTTATTGATTTTAAGCAACCTGATACATGATAAAGTAACAGCCGTATTTACACTTCATCACATATCCTTTTGCAGAATTCAACACCAATCAGATACCTCGTCGTCCGTTCGCTTGAAGATGACACTGTAGTCGCTATCCCAAACACTTGGGTTATGCGAAGTGGTTTATGTGCGTACAGCAGCACAGCAAACCATCTAGAGCCTATGTTTACCGGGGCTGGATGGTCAGTATTTCAATTCCGTCAACTGCAGGAATTTGGTAAGTTGGCATATTTCATAATCACCCTTCTAGATACGTATGAGAACTGTAAAAAGGGTATAGAGCTTATGAAAAGCAATGATCAAGGCACCAGGAATGTAGACATGGACGATGACACGTTGCCAATGCCCAGTAAGAGACCGAAAAGGTAGGTATCGTTGTCTGTCTAACACATTTTTCAGGGATGCCAAGAAAAATGATAAAAATTTCCTTTACAACTCAATGGATATTGAAGTAGCTGCCAGTGAGGTTGGTTGCATCAAACCACAATATCCAGACTATAACATATTTGATGACTTCGTGGCCCCAATTCCAAGGTATTAACTTGATGGAAAGCCCTTCATTTTCAGTACTTCGGGTGCCCCCCAATTCCAGTCTTCATCTCCTATTGCCAAAAAGAAGTGTGTGTGTGACCGGTAGGAATAATTGTCACAATTTTTATTTATGCTTTAGATTGCCCTCTAACGAATATGCTACTGAATCCTTAATTAAGAAATTACTCGGTAATTACTTGAAAATAATTATTTATTTAAAGATACAAATATGGAAATCGTAAACCTGTGCACGAAAATTTTGAACATTATTACTACTGATAGAAAATTTCGACAGCAAACCTACCCTCCAGCAAACGGGGACCTAACACTGCACTTTCCGATCGAGAATGAAGACCAGTTAGAGATGCTGGAAGCATCTTTAAGAGACGACAAGTACAAACAGCAATATGTAAGTTGACGTATTCAATTCTTATTTCTTGTAGACTGCTAAGATGGCTAGCTGCCTTCAGAGTGATCCAAAGTTGTCGCTTAAGGTCATGATGCACCAAGTTATAAAACCTGAATTGGGTTTGAAGTTTACATTCCAGGGGACTTTGTCAAAGTCAAGCATTGTGCCTTATGCCTTTTATAAAATAATGAGAAGTAAGTTTCATTAATGAAGTAATTAGTTCTCTAGCTTTAATTATGTCGCACTTCTCCGGCCAACAAATGACGACCGGAGAGATTTGTGAAATGATGGATAAGGCCACGAAATCGTACTTTCATAATTTGAAAGATCGTGTCCAGAGGCGTAAGCGGAAGCAAGGAATTCAGGTAATATTGTGAAACGCCTGCTTACTTCTATAAGTGAACGTTTGTTCAGCATGTAGTAATCACAATATTGTTTTCTTTTTTAGGCAAATGAAAAAGATACTGGGGGATACAACAGTGGCACTTATGTAAGTAAACTTCTATAAATGTCACTGCTCAGAATGTGCTGAGCACAATTTTTCACCCACTAATATTTTATTCTGCTTCTTTGCAGGATGCTGCCAGTGGATCGCACTTGACGGAATTGCAGTGACGTTGTACTACAATTTATAAATACAAAAGTCTCAATTACAAAAACTGATTTCTTCTGCACTTGAATAAATGAATTTCGCCGGCGTAGGATGATAATAAGTAGAAGTTCTTTCGTTCTGAATTAGTGCTAGTCAGTGCTGAAAATGATCTGCAAAGGCTTAAATTAGGCTGAAAAAATTGCCACTATGTGCTGAATTAAGTCTTTTCGTTCTGAATTAGTGCTAGTCAGTGCTGAAAATGATCCGCGAGGGCTTAAATTAGGCTGAAAAAATTGCCACTATGTGCTGAATTAAGTCTTTTCGTTCTGAATTAGTGCTAGTCAGTGCTGAAAATGATCCGCGAGGGCTTAAATTAGGCTGAAAAAATTGCCACTATGTGCTGAATTAAGTCTTTTCGTTCTGAATTAGTGCTAGTCAGTGCTGAAAATGATCTGCAAAGGCTTAAATTAGGCTGAAAAAATTGCCACTATGTGCTGAATTTAGTCTTCGCTATGCTTAAAAGAAGAACACGGTGCTGAATTAGCGCTAGTCATGCTGAAAACTAGCACTGAGCTCTAGTCTGTGCCATTAAACAATTCATTTCAGAACAAATTCAGAATTTACTCACTATAGGATGCTAGAATTATTTCAGAATTACTGAGAATTAATTCAGAATTATAACAAGTTTGGGCCTTCCATTGAATTCTTAGTAATAATAATATATATTCTCATATAAACATATAAATTTACATGAAAATGCATGCCATTTTTACAGGCACGATCAAGTATGATATAATATCAATTCATAGATTGTCTACAAGTTAATAATGTTTCAACAGTTAAATATTTGATATATATAAATACACTCATTGTCTGAACTAGGCTGTATAGTTATTGAATTGTACAGTCGTCCTCCAGGTTGAGCGGGAAAATCGACTTCGTTTCGTTTTCATCCCGTGGTTGTCGGCATACGATAACCAACCAATATTGAGGTAGGTACAACGTTTACAACGGATTGAAAGCTGATTTTAGAAAATTAAAAGTGCTAAGGTGAATCAGTAAAGTGTAATGAAATGGGTAAGTGCTAGTATCACTAATAAATGCATTAATATAGAAAACTCCCTAGGCTGACAACGTTCATTTGCAATGTATAATGCTACGCGTATATCTGGTAGTATCATGATGTCCACTTTTGGTTTTAATACATGTTTTCCTTATGTCTGCTTTTTTATTTTATGCTTTTTTGTGCATTTGGTGCACAACCGTACCTCACAGAGAATAGGAATAGAATAAGTCGAATCAAATTCATAAAGAGATATAAAATGTTAGGTTTAATGGGATACAATGAGGATTAAGTAAAGACGTAATTAGAAAATGATTGAGATAAGACATTGTGAAGTGGTATTTAAAGATCCGACAATGGACAGCAAGTTGATTTATAAGATGCCCAATAGATCTGTGCAGAGCCCACATGGTCGCATCTCAACA